AAATTACTCTAGACAAACATTTGTGTCTTTTTTTTATTGCTGAAGTGTGTTGAAATTTCTTCTTCTGCATTCTAATGTACGGACGTAAATTTACATTTCCTTCAGCCTGAGGCTTATTCATTTCACTTTTGGTGTGAAAAGGCTTTTATATTTGCCAAAATATTACTTTTTTATTTTAAAAACAAACAAGCAAGCCCTGTCCAGATTTAAAAAGTAACGCAAAAGTAACGTAACACATTACTTCCCATAAAAAGTAACTAAGTAACGTAATTAGTTACTTTTTTTATGGAGTAACGCAATATTGTAATGCATTACTTTTAAAAGTAACTTTCCCCAACACTGGTTACATCCCTAGTGGTCCGGTTCAGAAAGGTCCATCTCATTTTCTTGTCCGACATCGCAGTTTTACCTTTTTTTGTGAAGGGCGTTTGATTTTTTTTTTTGCACGTTCGCTTTGTAAACACTGGCTTGGTGCTTCCGCCTCCGTCACCTTTCCAACGTGACTACGTCATGCGTGAAGTCGAGCATTTGTGGTTAAACAGTATATAAATGTTTATTTTTTTAAGAAAATGAGCGATGGTTACACTAGATAAGAGTCTTATTCCTCGGCTGGGATCGTGTCGAGCTCTTTGAAGCTGCACTGAAACTGTGACTTGGACCTTCAGCCTGTTGGTCCCCATTGAAGTCCATTATATGGAGAAAAATCCTGGAATGCTTTCCTCAAAAACCTTAATTTCTTTGCGACTGACAGAGAGACATGAACGTCTTGGATGGCATGGGGGTGAGGAAATTATCAGGAAGTTTTTATTCTGGAAGTGAACTAATCCTTTAAGATATTATCTAATAGTCTGCGTAACTTAACTGACGTCAGTAGAAAAGGAAAGTCAATTTGAAATGATGAGAAACACACAATAGCACCTACAATCTAATTAAACGAATGAATCAGAAATATTCTAGTTTTTCAGGTCAGTTATAAATATGAGCGAATGCGTGTCATTGACCATGTGAACATAAGCTATAATCAATGTCAAAGTGAAATGATCCTGGTGAAGCTCTCAAGGTAAAGTCGTTGTATTATTCAGTGTATTCTTTTAGGTTTTGACATCTTTAACACTGAATTCAGCTGGACAAAGTTCGAGTCCAGACATTAAATGAGTCCAAAACATTAAACCATTAAACTCTGAGACTCTACAGGTGTAAATCAAACTCTATCAGAGCAGCAGAGTCTGAATTAAATCCCATTAGCGACTTACAGCTCAAAACAAACCTGTAAATCAGCATTCATTAACAACAAACTCAGAGTTCACTAACTAGATGCGGATTTCCAGACGCAGGGTTGCCAGGTTTTCACAACAAAAACCCGCCCAAAATTTCTACCCAAAACTAGCCCAATTGCGTTTCGGGGGGTTCCACCGGTACAAATCGCGTTCCGGGGGTAAAACACACGTTTCTGACAGGGTTCCCCTGATAATATTCGCATTCCAGGGACTAAATTTCACATTATTTGTGTTTTAAAAACAACCCGCGGCTACAGTGTTAAAGTAGCCCGAATCCGCGGGAAACCCGCGGACCTGGCAACCCTGCTCCAAACCCTCACAGCCGATATTCCCTGTTCGTGAGGCACATCTGTAACATGACAGCGCGAATAAAGCCGTTCAGACACATAAAACGCTGTTAAAACACATAAAAGAGGCTTTCTCGCGGCAGAAGAGCGATGGTTGTCCAGCTCAAGCAGTCACTCACTCGTTCAGCGCACCTTCAGTGAAGCTCCGGGCGGATGAAGCTCAACAGGAAGTTTATACCTGACATTCCCGAACTCCGACACACTTTAAAGAGTTCAAACGCGGGTTGAATGCGTCTCCAGGCGCCGTTAGAGGAAGCGAAACCACGTAGCCTCGGTTCGGTGCTGCTGGTCCCGGTGGACCAGAGTTTTATTCGCCCTGAGCGCGACGCGCCGTCGGAGTACGTCAGGCCGGTGCGTGAGTGACGTCACGACGCAGCGCCTCCACCTGAAACTACAGCCAGATAAACAAGATCCACACCTTTAATTACTGCTTATGTTTATTGTTATGTGATCTGTTTCATTTTTTTCATTTATTTATTTATTTATAATGTAATTGTTTGTTGTTGTTGTTGTTATTTTATTTAAATATATTTATTATTATTATTATTATTATTTTCTCTCTCTCTCGCTTCTGAATTTTAATTGCTATGTATTGTTTGGCCGTCCTTGAACCCCTGGCTCTTTTCCTTGGAATATGTTTGTTCACTTTTGTATTCCTTAAGCAAGTGTTTCATAAAAAAAATTAATTAATTAATTTAAAAAAAAACTTTTAATAACCGGATTACAAAATAAAAGCCCGTCTATGCGATTAGATCCTTCAAATGCATATGTTGCATAATTGCATATTGAGATTAATGCGGTTTTCTATAAATGAAGTCACCACAAATAGTATTTTGGCATTTGAAATGTGTGGATGTCATTGCACTAGATATATAAAATAAGTGAAAGAAAGATTCGTTTAAAAAGTAGAGTAAAAAAATGCATATAGTTTATTGATGTAAAATGTTTCAGGTGGTGCTTTAACGTTGATTTTGATGTATTCAGGAAATATACAATACTCCAAATATACTGTAAATGAGTCATCTTCATAATAACCGACTGTAAACTGAGTATAATGGAGGCGTCCGCTGGATGGCGCTGTTCTGCAGAGGAAGAGTGTTTGATGATGAAGGACAGTCATCTTCACACTAAGAACCAAAACAAAACAGTCCTGTGGTAAAGCATACTTTACTGACCTCAAGATGACTTTAAAATAAGATAAAACAAATCAAATCAAGACATTCCTCAACAGCTGTGTTTCATTGAAGAAGCAGGATTCCTGTCCTCTAGGAAAACCTCTAGCCTATTATATGAGAGAATTCTGTGATTTCTAGACCTGCAAAACTCGTGTAAATTAATACAACCTTAAAATTGAGAGTGTAGAATTTAGTAGAGATGCTATGACATGTAAATGTGATTCATTACTGTTCAAAAGTTTGGGATAAGTAAGATTTTAAGAAAGAAAGATAAGCATACTTTTAATCATCAAGGATGCATTAAATTGATCAAAAGTGAGAGTAAAGACATTTATAATGTTACAGAAGATTTCTACTTCAAATAAATGCTGTTCTTCTGAACTTTGTTCATCTGTGAATCCTGAAAAATAAAATGCATCAGTTTCCACAAAAATATTAGATGCTTTCAACATTGATAATAATCAGAAATGTTTCTCGAGCAGCAAATCAGCATATTAGAATGATTTCTGAAGATCATGTGACACTGAAGACTGGAGTAATGATGCTGAAAATACAGCTGCGCATCACAGAAATACATTACAGTTTAACAGATATTCACATAGAAAACAGCTGTTTGACCTGATAATAATATTTCAGTTTTTACAGTATTTTTGATCAAATAAATGCAGCCTCTGTGAGCAGAAGACACTTCTTTCTAAAACATAAAAAAATCTGAATTATTCCAAACTTTATGCAAAATAAACAAGAGCCATGGTAGCTGTTCTCGAAGTAAAAGCATCATGTCAATGTCATGTGTTATAGTCTGCATGTGCTGACAGAGGTGTGCATGAAGCCGAGCGGTTTTAAACTGAATGTGATGTTTGTGGATGAAAGCAGTCTGATGTGTAACTGTGTTGCAGAGAGGGGAGAAAGATTTCTGCAGTCTCACAGCACGTCACACGTGTTCCTCTGGGTGCTGTCCAACACACCGTCCAGCTGTGAGGGTTTGTAACCAACATCTGGCTCACAGACTCAACCATCTGCTTCAGACTGCAGGAGCAACACAACAACACACCGAGTAACCGGGGCTAGTTGTCACACTTTTTACACGGATGAATACTTGTCAGGACGGGTCAGTTTCTGGAAATAAAATATGCAGATTGTTGAAGTTTTGTGGCAGCATGCCCCAGTATCCATCCTCCATAACATTTATGTATTTGAAAAGCATTATAGACTATATATAAAGGTCATTGTGCAGCATTTAAATGGTAAAACCACTGTAACACTGAAAATGCAATGACAAAAATAGAAAGATAAAATGCAAATATACTGATAACACTTTACAATAAGATTTGTTAGTTAACATGAACTAACAAAAAAAACTTCTAAAGCATTTATTAATCGTAGTTATTGTTAATTTCAACATTTACTTACGCATTATAATCAAAAGCGTATCTGTTAATATTATTTAATGGACCTGAGCTGACATGAATTAATGAATAGTTGTGCTTTTATGAACTCATAATAATTATATATATATATATATATATATATAATTCTTTTATTAATAATAATAATAATACATAATTATAATAATAAGAAAATAAACATTTTTACTGGGAAAAAAAATCATGCACGTATTTTAATAAAAATACAAGCATCACATTTCTGCTTTTACTAACACTTTACAATGAGTTAACTACATTAGTTGAAAGGAACTAACAATTAAATACTTGTAAATCATTTATTAATCTTAGTTATCTCAATATTTACTAATGCATTATTGAAATCAAAAGTTGTATCTGTTAATATTATCTAACGGACCTGAGCTGACATGAAATAACAATATTTTATTAACATTAACAAAGATGAATAAATACTATAAGAAATGTTTTGCTCATTAGTTAACTGATGTTAACTAATGGAACCTTACTGTAAAGTGTTACCAAAATACCTAACCTCTGATATTTAATTAACTATAAATTGAACTTTGTGCATCAATTATTGTGAAATAATCAACGGATACAATTTAGCCAAAACTTTATTTGATCAATTCAATGGAAAAAAAAAGTCTAAATCATAAAAACAGCTGAACAGCGTATACAAATTCAATATTATTTGTATCCTAAAGCTGGTGTTCTTTAGCTCACGTGTTAAAAAAGACAACACAATTAAAGGATAAAAAAGTTAAATATCTTCCCGTTTAAAAAAAGAGGACAGTATGAAAGAGCATCATTCATATGAAACATCAGATCTAAAAACAGGAAAAAATAGTTTTGCATATAAAATAAGGTACTATGTGAAAAGAGAGGAAAGGCCTTTACATTCATGTACGTATGGTGATTATTACACATCATATCAACAATCAGAGCATTTCACAATAATAATAATAATAATAATAATAACCTGCCAACAGATTCTCACATCTGTACAAAGATCATATTTGTGGTTGTGCTGATTAAATCACAACTATTGCATGGTATTTACACCGATGTGTAGAAATGTTGCTTTAAATTACCTTCAAAACACTTACAATGCACAAATGAATGAGTTGTGTGTGTGTGTGTGTGTGTGTGTGTGAGTGTGAGTGT